ATTATTGAAATGTAAACCATCGTGATATATATCATATCGTCAAGGTATCAAGCTCCAACATTGGACATACCTGGACTGTTGCCTTGGACAACATGGTCTGCTGCTACATATCCAGTCGAGTGAATCCTTTCGTATCCGTCGAGGCCAATCGAACCTTTGGCATCAATTTTCTGTTTAAGCTTTTCCATTTGTTTCTCCTTGCTTTCAAGCGTATGTGGTTCAGAGTCTGGTACCAGTCGTTGCGCTTGTTCGAACAGATCCTCGACGCGTAAGGCTATCACGGCGAACTGTATATAGTATATAGTGAATAGTTTATCTGAGAGGGTTTTTCGTTATAAATTTATATATATATATAAATATATATAGTGTTTTTCTTGCCCCTGAGAGTGTCTATTTGGGTGTCTGGTACTAACTAGTGTATACACTCGTTCGAGCATAATCTAGACGCATTAGGGTATCGCGAGAAATGTATATGGTAAACAAGATATAGTATATAGTAAAATATAACGCATATAGATATAGTATATAGCATTAAATATACCGTATATAGATATAGTATGTTGTAAGATTCACCTACCTTTGGTCTATCTTCGGCGTGTTTGTACCAGCAGCTCGTAACCAGTTCTTTCATCTCCGCCCCACAAGTGTGAGGCATGTCCAGTCTTAGTCCACTCGCAATACTCGCAGCCAGGTTGTAGGACATGGTGTCCGCATACGGCACTTTTCCCTCACAGTATATCTCCCAACACGTCACACCGTACGCCCAGACGTCAGAAGCTGATAAGAGAGGGTTCACAGGCAAAGCGTCAAATGATATCTTCAGGTACCTATGTATGAACTCATGTTTGATTACATTAGGATAAAATACCTAATATTAAAATATTTAACGTGAAAATATTCAATTTTAAAATGTTTAACGTGAAAATATTCAATTTTAAAATGTTTAACGTGAAAATATTCAAAGTTAAAATATTTAACGTGAAAATATTCATCGTTAAAATATTTGATATTTGATATGGTACCAATATATAGTTCGTAATTACAATATTATTCCCAACGCCCCGCACCATTCGCCCAGATATCAGAAAGGACAAGAACGCGGTTCAAAGAAAGGGTCGGGTGATAAATGAAATGAGCTTTCTATCCCATAATAATCTTATATTTTTAAGTCAAGAACTTAATATGATCTTATCTCCAAAGCTAAAATATAAACTACTACAAATTAACAAACACACACATATATATGTCTGTATATATATATATATACATATATACATTTGTATATATG